CTCATTTAAACTCCCAAGGACATTGTGAGCTAGGTATTGCTTCTATTTTGTAGATGAAGAGATTGAGTCAGAGAGGTGAAATGACTTGCCCAGGTTTGTATAGCGGGCCTGGTGATGACTCTCTGCTCACTTACTATTCGGGTTCCACTTGAATCAGAAGACCAAACTGGCCTCCTTGCTAAGATCAGAGAGAGGCTGTAGAAAGAGTAGGAAAACAAGATGGTAAGTACGTGAAGGTCTGAGATGAACTCACTGCAGGTTGTACAAGATGATTAGGCTTTGGAGAGATCGCCCAGACCTTTACAGCGAGGCTGTCCCTTCCATAGTGGGCTTATTTCTTATTTCTTCTCAAAGACCAGCCCCAGGGATTTTTATTATGTTTACTGAACTTTCTTGTTGACCTAAAACAGGGATCAGTGTTGGAGGAAAAGACACTAGTTTAAGATGTGGGCCTTGATGTTCAAGCAGCTTTCTTTTCCCCGGGAGAGGAGAGCAAACTGCTCTCAGCTAGAGTGGAGCTGCCTCACTCGGAATCCTATTGTCCTTGGTGTTTACACCCAACAGTGCCCAGCACACAGCGTAGGTGCTCAGTAAATGCTTGTGGAGTGAGTAAACGTGACATCTGTGATCACAGTGGTTATTCACATGATACCATCTAGGCAAAGGGTCCAACCCCTGGGTCATTAATGAAAGGTTGGTTTCATTTCCCATTACCTTTGAGGTGCTTGGGATGCAGTTTTCCTAGCCTCGAACCTGACAAAGCAGAATCTGAGTGGCTAGGGCATTAAGTATCTTCTCACACAATTTCAGTAAGTCGATGTTAATCATCTATTTATGATTTGTAGGGTTTTGATTTCTCTCTGGAAGCACGAAAGAGGAAGACAAAGAAGATAAAATCAATAAAATAAAAATAGCTCCACGTAAAGGACTTTCTCAGGATGTCACTAAACGTGTGTGATAAAGTTCTTGGTTGAGAGGATAGAAGAGGATTGTCTAAATATAACAAAGAAGACTATGGAAATAGAGGGTAGGACAGAATAATTACATAAAAACAAACACACAAAAACCAAGCATCTCAGTTGTATAAGCTACCACGGAACATGCTTTTGTTTCAAGTAGGTAGAATTTTATTCTCTTTGTAGATATAAATTAAAAAGTAATTTTCAGTGTCTTAGAGGAAAATGAGAAAAAAAAAGGAGGGTGTGGTCATTTTTGTCTTTTTTTAGCAGAGATATACAGGGTGACTGGGAAGAGTTTCCAAGAGGTTTACTCTGCTGTGAGAGCTTTGGAAAGTCTCGTTACTGGGAATGCTGTCCAGGTGATTCACAACTTCACCTTTTTGGTTTGCATAACTCCTATTGATTCTGAAAGACAGTTTACATACCTCCTCCCCTTGGAACTGCTCCCTGATTTTCCCCATCTTGTTTTTACAGTAGCTTATGTATACTTTCTTTATAATGTTTATCACTTTACAGTAGTTTTCTTTGTTTGATTTTTACACAATTAACACTATGTTCTCTCCTTAAAGGCAGGGCTGTGTTTTACCCTTTGTATATCCAGGATCTAGCAGAGTGCCTGGCACTTAGTAGGCTCTCAATAAACCCTGTGCAATGAACAGAAGATGCTCTAAATCCCTACTTCATTCTCTCCTAAGTGTCTTTCTAGTGAACTCCATGAGATGACCTAGAGATTGAGGAATCAAAGCATTTGAAGACCAGGATTAGGAACTAGACTACACAGGGACCGCACTGTGAGAACCGGACATATTCCATCAGCTCTCTGCAGGCTGAGAAACAGAATGATTTCTTTTTTTTTTCTTTTCTTTTTTTTTATCCTCACCCGAGGATATTTTTCCATTTTTTTGTACAGATAGAGTGGGAGGGAGAGAGAGGAAGGGAGAGAGAGAGAAAAACATCGATGTGAAGGGACACATCGAGTGGCTGCCACCCGCACGACCAACCAGGGCCGGGGACAAACTGCAACCGAAGTATGTGCCCTTAGCGGGAACCGAACCCGGGTCTCTCCGGACAGCAGGCCGACGCTCTAACCGCTGAGCCAAACCGGCCAGGGCCAGAATGATTTCTTTAGACAAGCCACACTTCACTTAACAGTGTGGAACCTCAGACAAGTCACCTCAATTCTCCAATCCTGTTTTCTCATCCCCAAAGCGGGAATCATAACAGAACTTACTTTATAAGGTGGTTGTGAGAATTAACTGAGTTCATTCACATGAAACACTCAGCATAGAGCCTAAACACTTAACACTCAATATTAGCTATTATTGTTATCAGCTATTCTGAAACTGAGATCCGTGTAAAACACCAACATTAGCTTTCTTAAACATCAATTTTAGTGTGTTTTTTATCATCCATTTCCTTTTACCTTTCATCTTTCTTTTACCCTTAAAAAAATAAATACAAACCAGCCATAAAGTAATATCATGGCAGAGTTCAGATGCCTCCTCAGCCATGCAGCCTTCCCTGCTTGCCACTCATGCCATAGAATTCATCCTTTTTTGCTCCCGTATTGCTTGTGCCATAACATAGCACTTGCTGACTAATACCTATTGTGACATTCCACTCCAACTCCAGCCCGTGTGAGTGAACAGTTTTGATGATATTCTTTGCAGTACTATGAAATGAGCAGCTGTTTCGATACTTTGATTCCTCCCATGATTTAGAAACAGGTCTTGATGTTTAGTGCAAAGGCTGGATGTGGCAGAGGAGGCCCGAACCAGGGAAACCCAGGTTCCAGCCAGATGAATTACCAGACTCTTCTGTCTCTGTAAATGGGGATAATGATACCTGCTTTGCTAATCCAGAGTGACTGAGACATGTAAATGAGGTAAGAGATATGACAACCCCTTTGCAGGTTAAATGCAATCCACGCCTATTGTTCTCACCAGTTCTATGAAACAGGCCCAAAGTCAGCAGGCTGGCTTTTCCAAATGTCAGATGGCCCCACACCTACAGGTTTCTCTTGCTCCACTTTGGGTGTTGGAGATTTTTAGATTTTGATCCTGTCTTCACCTGGAGGTCGTCACCAGGCCACTGTGATTCTGGTGGCGCAACTTTGCTGGAAGTCATTTCCAAAGCTTTAGTTAAGGCCTGAGGAACCTGTGGCTTCTTCCCTTCATGTCTAACCTTACTTTCTTTGGTGGGAATGTTATCTTGTTTTCAAAATCTCAAGGAACCAAAGAGCACCTACTATCTCAATATTACAGGACAAGGGTCCCTGGACCAGCGTTTTATGTGAGAAATCAGTAAGAGCTTAACCTCAAGGAGCAGATGAAGAAGGAAGTGTGTGTGAAGCAATAAAAGTTTGTTCGTTGTTTTATTTTTCTAGACTTCTTCAACCTATTTACACATTACACAGAAACGTTTTTCTTCTCTTCCCTGAAAGAGAATTCTTATTCATTTTTATTAACTCAAAATACCTCCAAATTCCATAGCCTCTAAAGTGCAAAAGTGGGCCCTGGCCGGTTTGGTTCAGCGGTTAGAGCGTTGTTGGCCTGCGGTCTAGAGAGACCCGGGTTTGGTTCCCGCTAAGGGCATGTACCTTGGTTGCAGTTGGTCCCTGGCCCAGGTTGGGTTGTACGGGTGGCAGCCACTCGATGTGTCCCTTTCACATCGATGTCTCCCTTTCACACCGATGTCTCTCTCTCTCTCTTTCTCCCTTCCTCCCACTCTATCTGAACAAAAAATGGAAAATGTCCTCAGGTGAGGATAAAGTGCAAAAGTGGGATAAGTCACCGAGGAATGAGATAAATATATAGAAAAATATGATTATTTAAATTGTATTTTAATATCTACATTCTCAGCTTATTATTTTCTCCTGAATATTTTTATTTGCAAGTAAAATAATATAGAGATCTTTTTCATAACTTACTAACATAGCTACCAATTAAAGAATCAGAGAAATTAAAAGTAGTAGATATTATAATATCTCTAACTCTGATCACAGTTTTTGGGTGGGAGAATCTTATGACACTAAATGAAAACTCTTCACAGTTTCTCATACCCATTGTCCCTTATAAGCCATTAGCAGAAAGAACTACAATGTCTACTAAACTGGAATAGATAATTAACTTATTTCAATATAAACAAATGAAAAGTATTATATTTGTATGTTAAAATTAAGTGAGATATTTAAGAACCCCACCAGGAAAATTTTAAATCTTTGGGAGATTAGGCAGCATCTGGACATTCATTTTTAAAGAAAAGTAATTGCTGACCAAAACAAAAAATAAGCAATTAAACCAAGCTTCTCGCCTCCTATCAAGGAAGTGCCAGTATTTTCTTCTTTCGTTTAACATTTGCAAAATGGAGTCTTGAAAGGTGATGAATTCCTGACTAGTGGAGACCGAGCTCCTCTGAACTGAGCCTCTGCTCTAGGAAGCAGGCCAGAGCCAAGCTAAAGCAATCATCAAAGCAGAGAATGGAAGACCATTCAAAATTCATTTTCCGTTATATCAGAAAAACATAGATTCGTCACTTTGCTCTGAGGGGGATGGTGGACGGCCGCCTGCCACCCCCAGCTTGCTCTTTCTAGGCAGCAACAGGACACATTGGGGTGGATTTTTCCCACGGAGGATCAATGGAGTGAGGGAGAATTTAACATCGCTGATTTTCTCATCCAGCGCAGTACCTTCAGTGAGGGAAAGTCACACCCTGGGCCCTTATCCCCCTTTTCTCCAAGTAGCCCAGGTGCCAGTGCCCAGGTCTCAGGGTCATTCACTCTCCCACCACCCTGTGGACAGCCCACTCCAGGAGTGACCCCTGAGGAAGGCATGCCTATGAGAATCCAAGATCTGCTCGCTGATTCACAAAAGATAGTTAAAAAGTAGTAGGAAAAAAAAAAAAGACCCAGCCACTCCCAAACATCTCCCTGAGGAATTGATATACCCTTTGAAATAATTATTTTTCGAATGGCAGTCTTTCTCAATAGAAAAGAATGGGAATAATCGGGTTGGCAGATACAGCCCTTGAATCGACATTTACCTGTATGAGCCACACATTTGTTGTCATCAGTTGGTTCTTTTCATCCTAAGAAAATGACAATTAAAAAGATGTAAATTCAATTTAAGTGAAATTGGATTTTGGATTTTGTGTGTGTGTGGTTAGAAAGATCTCTCTGAATCTTACCTTTCAGGTATTCAAAGCGTAAAGGATTCTCAACACAAGAACAGTTAAATGGCACAGGATCCTAAAATATTATGCACATTTTGCTTAAAATGAAAAATAATAATTAAAGCAAGTAGCAGTTCATTGTGGTGATATTTATATATAATTGCATAACCCAGAAAGCACTGTCCGGGTACCAAGTGGAGTTAAAAATTAGCTAAGGAGATGGGAGTGCATGATCTTCTAGAAGGAATCCTGAGGCACGGAGCCAGCTGGGGTGGGTGAGTGTGTGCATATGTGGTGGGGTGGGGGATCTGAGTAACCGGGAGGGTTACTCTGGGACTTTGAGGACCACAGCAGGACAATTTTGCAGAATGTGGTTGCTATGCAGTTCACTGGTTTTCCAGGAAGCCAATCACAGCAGAAGTATGAGCTCAGCAGGAAAATTAGCAGAGAATGTCATGGGTGAGGTCAGGGGAAGGTATGGGGTCCTCTGGGGCTCCAGGAGGATGATGGGGTGCCCGGACACTCGCTCTGGCGCTGTCATTATCCATCTGCCCTCTCTCCACGCAGATGCCCCCGCTGGCCCTCCCACAGCTGAGAGGACACTGCTCAGCCCTGGGCTCATTTCTCCCTGGCCCCGCTCCTCGCCCTGGGTGCTCACCCCGGGTGCAGCCAACCCTCCAGCGGCAGTGCGCATCCTGGCCCCATACCCTCCAGCAAGGTCCCACACTGATGCTGGAGGTCCCCCCCTGCTGCTGCTGCCAGGAAAACGTTCTCCGTGGCACTTCTCAGTCTTTCCTCGGGTCATTCCACTGGCTTCCTGGGGCACAGCTCCTCTCACAGGAACTTATTTTTGAAATTGAAATGGCAGACCCGGGGGAAGAAAGCAAAATAAAAGCGCAGGTCAAGGAATGCGTGTTCTTTGAGGTTGGTGCCAAGGATTACTCACCACGTCTACGAGCTGAGATATTTTCAGTCCAAAGTATACTTTTATGGTGTCGTTAGAATTCAGCACAGGGCGAACCCATTTCTGGTACCCTTGGAACAAATGCTGGAGGAGGGCATCTTCACTGTCGGCGAAGGAGCTGGACCCCGCGGCTGCGAGAAGCCGAGGGAACCTGGGTTAACGCGGAGGCAGACGGAGTGGGGGGGGGGGGGCCTGCGGCCTGAGCCTTCATGCACTTCTTTCTGCGCAGCCTCCTTCAGCAAAGACCCTTTGTGGGGCGCCAGGGTTCTCTTCAACCACTCTCCATGCCCACAACACAGGGAAAAGTAGACAGTATTCTTTTTTTGTTTTTGTTTTTTTATCCTCACCGGAGGATATTTTTCCATTTTTGTTCAGATAGAGTGGGAGGGAGAGAGAGAGAGAAACATCGACATGAAAGGGACACATCGAGTGGTTGCCACCCGCACGACCCAACCAGGGCCGGGGACAAACTGCAACCGAGGTACGCGCCCTTAGCGGAACCGAACCCGGGTCTCTCTGGACCGCAGGCCGACGCTCTAACCGCTGAGCCAAACCGGCCAGGGCACAGGGTATTCTTCACCCAGAACTTGACTCTCAGGGGTCTTCACATCATGAGGTCAACACCTCTACAGTTGCCCTTGTCTCCGCCTACACCTCACCTCCTGGCAGGCATGGGCTCTCTCCAGGTGCCACGTCCATCATGCACCCTTCTGCCTCCTTCATCCCTCTTCTCACAGTTTGTGCACACAGGGTGGGGCAAAAGTAGGTTTACAGTCGTGACTGCAAAACAGTTTCTTGTATTATTATTTATTAGTTACTGTATACTTTTCCACATCAACAACTGTAAACCTACTTTTGTCTCATCCTTGTTTGTCTTCATCTGTCTTCCCCTCGAGCTCCGTGATGGCAGGTACAACATCGTTTTATTTGGTGATGTTTATCTAACACCTAGAACAGTGCCTGGCCCGCAGCAGGTGCTGTTTTATATCTATTTAATGAATGAACCAATAAAGAGAAGGTGTCAGGACCGTTTTCCAGGCGTCCAGCACATAGCAACTGAACAGCTGCCCGGTGCCCTGCGCTGTTCTCTCACCTTCTTCCGGAGGAAGTCTTCCCTCACGAACACCTTCCTGGTCCCCATCAGGGACACACTCTCCTCTGGCCCTACACGTGGGAATGCCCAAGAACCACCCTCGTTTCAAGCTTCAACCCTCCAGTTGAAGAACTGGTTTAGGAATGCAGTCAACAGATAGATACGTTTTGTCTCTTTTCAGTGTTATGCTATCAAATTTAAAACAAGAAAGCTCTTGGTTGTTGTTTTAAATATAGCCCCTCTCTTCGTATATTCAGCCTACTGTTAATACCCTACAGCAAGTCATTCTGCACAGTCAGCTTTACCATAGAAAACCCTTTTCTCCCACATGATGGGCAATGGTCACATGTAAGACATCCTCCAAGTTTTTTAGATCAAAATTCCAAAATCCTTAGTAAGAAGAAAACCGTAATAGCATACATACCCTCTATGTGCATGAGATGAGACGTTCGCTTTATTCAGAGAGTAGCAATTCGAAATGCACCCACAACGCTCCTTGGAGCGAACAGGGGTGTGGATAAGATAGGCTTTGTGCTCTGCCTGCCTACATTCTTCTCTCTTTTGCTTTAGAATGTGTATTAAAATGCAGTGAATGATAGAGAGAGATGAAACCTTGCATTTGTACTTATTTGTTTAAAAAGCTAAACATTCTCAAACTTTGACACTTCAATATTCTCAGCAAGCAAAGCTGCGTGAAAGAGCATGCTGGTCAGCTGGGTGGCTGCCAGGGCAGCATTCTGTAAAGGCCCTAAAACATTCCAGGAACTGGAGGGGTAGGGAAGGAATTGAAATTCCCCGAAGCCTTTAGAGGGAAAAGGTGTTCACTTGTTCAGGCTGAACTTGAAGAGTTTCCCTACCCCACATCCCCTCTAAACTTCCTTCAAACTAGATCACAACAGTGATTGCTTCCCAGTCTCCACTGGTATCACCCTAATCCCAAACTCCATCATCTCTCTCTTGGATTCACCTTCTGCTTCCTAACTTCTTCCACTCTCGCTCCTTCCACACCCTGTTTCCTGCCTGGCAGCTGGAGCCATCCCTTAAAAGCTGAAAAGCATGTCACTTCCCTGCTCCAACCCACCAAATGATTTCCCATCAAACTTAGAAAAACATCCCGCCCTGGCCGGTGTGGCTCAGCAGCTAGAGCGCTGGCTTGAGCACCGAAGGGTTGCAGGTTTGATTCCCAGTCAAGGGCACGTACCTGGGTCTGGAGTTCGATCTCTGGCCCCCAATTGGGGAGCACGAGGGAAGCAAGCAATTGATGCGTCTCTCTTACATCGATGTTTTTCTCTCTCTCTCTCCCTCCCTTCTTTCCACTCTCTCTAAAAATCAATGGGAAAATATCCTCAAAAAAAAAAAAGAAAAAACATCCCAAGTTGTTAGCAGGGTCTCCCAGGCACTGCGTGGCCACTCCCCTCTCCCCATCTGCTCTTTCCAGAGCAGGCCAGTGAGATTCCACTGTGTGAAGGCTCCTGCCCCACACCCACTCCTTCACTTTGTCCCACGCTCGCTCCAATGTCATTTCCTTGACGAGGTCATTTCAGGTGACAGGATCTAGAAATCTCTCCCCACACTCTATCCCTTCATGGTACTTTATCTTGTGTCAGAGACTTGATCAGCTCCAGGATCCTTCCTCACTGCTGTGTCCCCAGCTCCCAGTGCAGTGCCTGGCACACGGCGGCTGCAGGGCTAACAGACATTGAATGACACTGCAATTAGCTGATTGGCTATTGTTTGCCGACTGATGTTTGGGGAGTTTGGGCCAGAGCTGAATTGCTGGGGAGAGGAGAGAAGCAGGGAGGTCACAGTTGTCCTTTCTCTGGCTTCCCCTGCACAGGCAGCCCCTCCTCTAAGGAGGAGAATGTTGTTTGTGGCAGACACTGCTAGTTCCCTGCCCAACAGTCATTTACCCTTTCTTTCTTCCTACCTGATGTAAATTTATTCAGGATTGCATGGTGCTAACTTAAGATAATCCCCTCTCAGGCTTCCTTGCAACTGGGAATGGCCATAGGACACATTGTGGCCAAGTAAGATACAAACAGAAGCCACCGAGTGAGGTTAGTCAAGAGGATGAACTCAATCCCATGTACACCTTTTCACCTTTCATCTTCTACCCTTTGCCCTTTCTTCTCCTGCCTGGGACCGGAACACGGTGTCTAGAGATTTAGCCACCTAAATATGCAGGCAAGCCTGACAAAAGCTACACATACAAGACAGCAGAATAGAAAGACTGACGGAGCCTGGGGCCTGACAGTGTTACAGGATTGCCCCAGCAGCTCTGGACTGCCTGCCTCCACATTTCGTAGTGCTGGTGCGAAAGCAGCCCCCCGATGTGGCTAAGCTACCGTGGCCTCCCTTACATGCATCTGAGAGCAGTCCCAACTTCTGAGAGCGCCAGAGTGCTGACCTTCTCTGAGAGCCCTTGTGTCCCAGCTCAGCCTGATGAGCAGATATTACATAAGACACCATCTCACAACAGATGGAGACACTCCAGGGAGGCGGAGACACTCCAGGGAGGTTGAGACGCTGAATAAAGTCTGAACCAAGGCGCGCGCGCACACACACACACATTCACACACTCACACACATACACTTCTTAGCTCGGACAACCCTGAGCTATTATAATTTTGAACATATGAGATGGATCCCTTTCCTGGAAGAAGAATTTTACTATCATTTTGAAGGGAGGTAGAGTTGCATGTTGGGAGGGAGCTTCAAAATTAGCCCCTTGACGTTACCAGCATTGGCTACCCCCCAAGCCACACCCTCTGTGAAGATAGTGGGTCCAAAGGGAAATAAGCAGATCTGCTCTTTTAGGGACCTGTATATACTTTGATCCATGTTGTCAATGTCACAGGGTGAGCTGCTGTCTGAATCGAGGAAGAGAAAGCATAAATCTGTACTGGCTGTTATGGGCTGAGTGTTTGTGTTCCTTCAAATTTACATATTGAAGACCTAACCCCCAATGCGACTGCATTTGGAGATATGGCCTATAAGGAGGTCATTAAGACTGAGAGGTCATCAGAGTGGTGCCCTAATCGAATACGATTGGTGTCCTCATAAGAAGAGGAGAGACCGGGGATCTCCCTGCACTGAGAAATAGCCACATGTGGACACAGCCAGAGGCAGCTGTTTACAAGCCAGAGTTCTCACCAGAAACTGAATTTCCTGGCACCTTGAGCATGGATTTCTAGCCTCCAGAACTGCCCAAGCTGAGTGCTACAACTCTGTATTGACCAAAACAGACCTTACCAAAAAAGAAAGAAAAAGGCAAAAGGTATAAACTTTTGCCTAATATCTTCAAGCTTCGGAACCTTCCCAAAACAGAAGCTAAAGTCATTGATGTGACTGGAGCGGAATAGAGCACAGCCCTGGAAATGTTTCTGGTTTGTCCATTTTGTAAAACAGAATAGCATGAGAAAGAGCAGGTGCTTTCGCCACTGATTCTTTGAGGCCAGGGCCTCAGTAAGTATTTGACGATGTTTAGTGAATGAACGAAAGAAGGAATGCACAAGAGGCCACAATGGCGTGTTCTGTGCACAGGGAAAGGGGGCAGACTCACAGATGTGCTCAGGATCCCCAGGACAGGTGGTGTCTGAGTTACGGGGTAAATGGATCCCTGAAAAGCTGTGTGTAAGTCAAATTTTTGCAAATGGATTTATATTTTAAATTAACTAGACAAGACCAGTGTGCTAAGAGAAACGGAGAAAGTCAAAAAACTTATATTGGAAGGTGAGCACCCACCCCTCCAAAGTCAGCTTCCTGATGGGGAGAGTTGGGAGAACATTTATATACATCACTTTTTAATTTTTTTTCTTTATTGATTTTCAGAGAGAGAGAGAGAGAGAGAGAGAGGAAGGAAGAGGGAGAGAGAGATAGAAACACTGATAAGAGAGAACACTGATTGACCACCTCCTGCATCCCCCCCACTGGGGACTGGGCCCACAACCTGGGCATGTGCCCTGACCGGAAATTGAACTGACAACCTCTTGGTTCATGGGAACCACTGAGCCACCTTGGCTGGGCAGGAAAGCATTTATATTTATAAATAATTTCAGCATTGATTTAAAAAGAAGGAAAGGCGAAATGACAAAGAAGCAAAGACAGTAGAGCTGGAAAGGGTCTCCAAAATGATCTGGGCCCCTCATTTTGTGGATGAAGATCCTGGGGTACGCAGAAGGGAAGTGACTTGCCCCGGTCACCCACTTTAGTTAATAAGTGGTGAGTCTGGTCTTCTGACTCCCAAGTCATCAGTCTTTCCACCAGCCCATGAGATTCTTTGAGGGCTGAGGAGGCAAAAGACAGCTTTCTCCACTATGGTCTCCTTACTGCCACGTAAAAACTGCTCCAGCAATTCACATCTATGAACATATGTTCATTGTTACTGATATTTTTGTGTGTTGCTGTTAGCATTGTCTTTTCCGAAATACTTGACTGTCGTTTAAAGCGTCTCTTGCCGGGAGGAATGATGTCCTCAAACAAGCTCGTAGGGAATCTTTGTTTGCTCTTAGGGTGACCCTCAACACTGGTGACTGTCCTCCAATCCTACTCACATCTCCCTCTGCTGCCTCGGCACCCGGCAGACTGCTTTCCCGGGACACCTCTTGAATGGGCTCCTCTCTGTGTGATCACTTCTCAGAGGGGGACACCCAGTGTCTACAGTGACGGGGCACCCCTGTTTCAGACTTGACCGTGATCTCCCCACAGGCCCTTGCTTGGAGTCCTGCTTTGCCCAATCCCCCCAACCCCAACACACACACTTAGTCTAGCACGTCTTCTGAGGATGTGTGCTGCCTGTTTCAGCTTTTCACCATCTCTTTTGGTAAAATAAATAAATAAATAAATAAATAAATAAATAAATAAATAAATAAGGCATTTTGTGTCTCCCCTGAACCTCCGTTCTTCCCCTTTCTCTTCTCCTCTCCCTGCTTAATCTTTGTCTCATTTTTCTTTCTGATATTTCCCTTGGGGCTAGACGAGCAACCTCACAGGCAGGGAGCGGGAGGAGGGAGAACCAGGGAGAGGTCACACGAAGGCAGAGATGGAGAGCACTCTGCCCGATTCCGACTGTTTGCTCCGTGTGGCACTCAGGCTGGGAAAGTCCTCCAGGAGGGCTCGCTGCTCTTGGCTCAGGATGTTGAGTCTGTTGCCATACTTGTCATTCATTAGAATGAGACTCCAACAAATATTTATTTAACATTGAGAGGCCCTGGACTCAGATTCCGAGACATGAATTCTGGTCCTGATTCCAAACCGCATGGTCTTAAGCAAAGCATCTAACCTTGCCCAATAAAAATAGAGTGTGGATGGCTGGTAAGGGCCCTACAGCTCACAGGTCCTGTGCTTCTAGGATCTTTTATGTTCATGAAACAGCCACAAAATGTAACCTCTTAGTGTCAGATGTTTGCTGTCCTAAAGATACAAAAGAGCGCGAAAGTTTACTATCTGCCTTTGATTGGGGGACAGACCTTCAGTCCTGGCTGCCACTATGGCAACAGAGAAGGTGTCCAGGTACAGCGAACTAAAGCTATCAGGGGCCTGGACAGGATCCACTCCCTGCGAGGATGGCAGGGCTCCCTCAACCCCAGAAGGTGGAATCATGAGAGATTTGCTTGGATGAGGCATCCAGCAGCGGCTTGAGACAAAGACATTTTTCTTTGGAACCTATGACTTGACGTTGTGGTCTCTATTCTTCTTGATCATGTTTTCTTCCCTTTCTCCAGGCTCTCAGACCCTCTGCTCTTCCTCACCCAATAGCAACACTCACCTTCAGCAACATTTTAAAAAAAATTCTCACCAGAGGACACTTTTTTCATTGACTCCAGAGAGCAGAAGGGGGAGAGAGAGAGAGAGAGGGAGGAAGGGACGGAGGGAGGGAGAGAGAGAGAGAGAGAAACATCAATGTGAGAGAGAAGCATCCATCGGTCACCTCACGTATGTGCCCCAACCGGGGTTCAAACCCTCAACCTGGGTTTGTGCCCTGACCAGGAATCAAACCCGCGACCCTTCAGTGAATGGAACAATGTTCTAACCTCTAAGTCATACGGGCCAGGACTTCAGCAACATTTTGATAAACTCCCTCACACCAAGGTATAAATAATTTATAAGACTTGATACTGTAGATGAAACTTCCCAGGGTTATTTATGGTTTTATCGAAGACAACACTTCATTGTTTATTCTGGGAGAATGAAGAAATAATTGAAGAGTTTCAAACCTCAGCAAGTATGTTTGGGAGAAGTGCATTTTTTGTTTTGACACCTTTTGGTATATTTTGGTTTTGCTTTCCATTATCACCACCTTGTCCAAAAAAAATCGTACCACAAACATGGTAACGTTTTCTGTTAACACATGGAGCTAGCCTGCAGAGTGGAATCAAATGAGAAATATTTAATGGATTCTTGCTAGCAGGAGAGGTTATTAGAATGGTTTTGTTTTATTCCCTCTTGCATCCCACAGGCTAGAACCATTCCTAGGATACAGGGGATCCTCAGTAAATATTTATTGAATGAATAAACACATGTCATCATGTGGTAAGAGTGATGGGAAGATAAATAAGACACAGGCCCTGTTGCTGGGCAGACACAAACTCACAGAGCACAGTTTAGCAATCTCGGAAATGTCATGTAGCCATACACAAGTATCCTTTTCACCAAAGCCAGAAATATAAAAATAAGAGGCTGCCCCTTGTAAAGTGTGTGACAAAAAAAAGGTATTTCTTTACGAGTAGTAAAGAACTTAAGAAAGGTGATACAGATCTAAAATTAGAAATAGACTCCAATGGACCTAGAAATATTTCCAAAGATGAAAGTTACTAGGGTTATTACATAGATTTATTACAGATGTACGATGGATGGAGACATCCCAGTGTGCACTGCCAAACTTGCAGCCTGCACAGTGGAGGGTGAGCGCCAGGTTCCCCTCCAGACCCAGTTTCATTGTGTAACCGCTGCTGTGCTGGAGGAGCACGCAGAAACGAACCAGGAGGGTTCGTGATAACTACCCTTGCTAACCAGTGATGATTTCCCTGGAGAAAGAATAATAAGAATCAATCTTTTCATAGTAATTAGAATACCCTAGTAAGTAAAGGCAAGAAAGCATTAAATGCATGTACACTAATTAGAGGTTGGTTATTATTTTTATGATTGGCAAATTGCATTTCAGACTTTATGGAGACCAAATTTAGTGATATTGAAAGGGGGTTTGATGCTCTCCGCTCTTAGAAATTGCTCTGTTTCCGAGTCCTGGTAGGAGGAAGAGCCATGGTTTTGAAGATATGATAATGTTCAGGTGTGTGTGTCTCGTGGCCCTACGACTTTGAAATTGAAGATTTATTTCAGGACTTTGTCAAATCTACCTCAGGGCCCCTGGTTCTCTACCTGAAAACTGCAATAATCAACTGTGGCAAAAATACTAGTAACAAATAAATACAAATTGCTAAGGGAATGAACTATTTTCTCACCATCTGACTCCTGGCTCTGACTGGTTTCTGTGCAGTGGGAAGACCTTTCTGTTCTTTTTAAAAAATATTTATTAATTTATTTATTTTTGTTACAGATGTTTCTCCTTTTCCCCCCTAGACACCCTCTTCCCAATCCCACCCCCTCACAGCATTGTTGTCTATGTCCATTGGTTATGCGTATATGCATATAAGCTCTGTGGCTTATCTCTTCCCTCTCCACACCCCCCCCCCCATTCTTAAGTTACATGAAAAGTGAAATGATTTCAAAACCCAGAAAACCAGCAGGTGCAAATGAGCACTCTCTCTTAAACTTTTCAGTTTTCTGCCTCTTTCCTTTTTTCTTCTCTCTCCTCCCCTCCTTTAAATTTGCCCTCCTTCTTTTTTCAAATTTCTCTATTTTCAGGTGGATAATAGCCACAGAAAACTCACACATGTTCATAGACATTTGATATATATTTTTGTTTAATTGTGATGTATAAACATACTAAATATACCTACACACACAAATGTATTAAAACATCTATGTAAGTCTACAAGATACACTGGACAAAAGTATCTATACACAGATATAGTGATTATTAGCAGATAGGATATAAAAATATTGATCTAATAAATTTCTGTGCTAAATATTTAAATAATTCTGAGTAACATTCAGTGCACTTGCTAACATTTTCCCTACTTTTATATCTTCCTAGCACACTCTTAATGATTCAAAAGGAGTAACAAGAAATGACCAAAACACCAACATTCTGAAGTTTATAGATATGATTTCTTCAGCAATCTATAGATTATAGAAGTATTCATCGAAGCCACACTTTAAAAGTTACCCTAACATTACCTACACATCACATTTTGCAATTCCAACGTTATCAACACCCTAGTTTCACCGTCCTGGCTTAAATAATTCTACAATTATAAAGTTTTCATCTAGTTTGACTTGAGCTTACCTGAGGGACCGACGCCAAGGATGATGAGCACTGGGATAAAACCTGCTGGCCTCATGATGTCAGTTTGAGAGAGAAAATCTCTTCCTTTTTAATCACAGGGTATTTCCATCAGAAAAGGGGGATTGGGAAGGAAAACGCAGTGGTTCCGAGTCTGAAGTGGAACCAAAGGGGAAAGTGGACACCTGACGCGGGAAGAATAGTTTCAAACCATCTCACATCAGTGTAATGTTTCGTCAAGTACACTTCATTGATTTCCAGTCAGCTGTCAGATCGTGTGAGGCTAAAACGTATCTCTGGGTCCTAACTCCTGACTTATTAATTTACTCTCTTGCAAAGAGACACAGAGCAGTGGAGAAAGGATGAAGCTCAGCAACTTCTGAATGTTCTGCGTTATTTTGCTTATGGCTGGAGATCCATGTAAAGGAGAATCACTGCATTTTATAACCTTCATCCTGGGAGTTCGTGAAAAGTTTCTCCTACATATTATTGCTCTATTATCTCTTCCTTTAGGACTTGAAGCTTAAGGATATGAATAGGAGGGGTCAAAAGGTACAAACTTCCTGTTATAAAATAAGTCCTGGGGATGTAATGTACGGCATGGTGATCATAGTTAGTAATACTATAGTGTATATTTGAAAGTTGTTAAAATAGTAAATCCTAAAAGTTCTCATCACAAGACAAAAGTTTGTGAATTGTGTGCTGATGGATGTTAACTAGACTAATTGTGGTGATCATTTTGCAATATACACAAATATCATTATGTTATACACCCAAAATTAAGGTAAAAAATAAAATCCAACTGAGTAAATTTTAAAGATCTTATTGGCTTTATTCAATGATTCATAAATCACGCAGCATCCAATGTAGCAGACAGAAAGGTGCTCCAAGAAGCTGTATAAAGTTAAATATTCTTACAGGTAGAAGGGAACCTGAACAAGGAAGCCACGCTAGCGAAAGTGATTCGGATGTGACAAGGCCACCTTCCTTTAGGTGGTTTCTGGTTGACTAGTTTAATATTCTATTTCTGGGATAGCTGAACTTGTAATGAAGTTAAATCTCAGTTTGGTGACATGGGACTTAGCATAAGTGACTCCATTTTGGGCCTGTTGCCTTGTTTTTTTTTTAACACTAATATATTATGTGCCGATTATATCTCAATTTTAAAAATATAAATATGTCCTTTAGCTCCCTTATTTAATGGTTTACAGGCATCTTAGTGTTAGAGCATCCTCTGTGGTTCCCTTGGGTGCACAAGGTCCACCTTACCCTTTTTACAGGAGAAAGTAAGGGGAGAGTTTAGTCTTCTTTTGTTTCCCTTATGGGACTTGGGGGCCGATAATGTCACTTTTAATTTGATTCACACTCTTCACAGTTTATCTGATTCTCACCCAGTTTAGTGCTGTCTTTTTTCAGAGGACCCCTAATAAATGCAAATGTAACGAATGAGTAACTGAAAGTTAGGGCTAGACAGAGGAGAGGGCCAGGTCGGAGCAGTCACCTGGGTGAAGACTGACTGTGGGAGCAATGTCCTCCAGGGCACTGATGAACGGATTTTATCCAATTTTAAAATTTCTCAGTGATATCTCTTAGCTCCTGCTGTGTGCCATCCGCAACTTTCAGACACCAGGTGACATCCAGTAAGGTACCAACAGGTAATGAAAATGGCCCTGGACTAGGAGGCAGGACTCTGTTCCCCCCTTGTGCCGCCCTCTCCACCTTCCTCTCTCAGAGAACCCCTGCGCCACACGGCTGCTTACCTGCCTGTCTCCCACACCGGACCTTGGGCTCCCGAGGCCGAGGACGGGGCTGTGTCCGCTTGTCTCTGCGTCTCCACTAGATTTCATAAACAAATGCTTAAGAATGATGAGTGAATGAAAGGAGGAAGGAAACAATCAGACACTGATTTCCCTTTGAATAGTGTTCCAGGCCTGCTGTGAATTTACAACCTCTCAGGAATAAATTAGCCACTAACTCAGGGGTGCAGGAAGTATCACCTTTACTTTCAATACGTCAATTAAAATCAAGCTTGCCATCCCCCTGAGCCGGCAGGAAATCCAGGCTCAGTCCTTATAGGCGCTGCATCCCCTTGCCTAGGGCAGCAAAAAGATGGAAAACTCTTCTGTGGCCCCTCCACACAGGGCAGGCCTCCAGGCCATCTTGACCACAGCGCAACTTTGTGGACTCCTGGTCGGGCCTCCCAAACTGTCAAAGTATAATTTTTAAAAATGAAAAGCATGACATATCACCCAAATACAAAGCGAGAGCATGTCAAAGATTTACTTAATTCCTGCATGAAGGAAGCAGCAGGATGACAAAGCTGGCTCAGAGTACGGTACATCTTTCTTATTTATAATTTGATTTCTAAAAAGAAAAAAAAAATAGAAAAACTAAATCATATTGGGGCATCCACTTAATTAATTGCTTTTATTACAAAAAATACAGTTACACTGTCCCGTGAGTATCCTGGTCACCGTGAGAGTGGCATCCAGGGCAGCCTGGCCCTGCCAGAGCTTCACCCAGAGGGAGTCAAGAAACCCAGGGTCCAGGAAGAGGCTTTATGAGAATGTTTTTTTTTTATCCTCACCCGAGGACATTTTTCCGTTTAGTTCAGATAGAGTGGGAGGAGGAGGAGGAAGAGAGAGAGAGAGAAACATTGATGTGAAAGGGACACATCGAGTGGCTGCCACCCACATGACTAACCAGGGCTGGGGACAAACTGCAAACGAAGTACACGCCCTTAGTGGGAACCGAACCTGGGTTTCTCTGGACCACAAGCCGACGCTCTAACCATTGAGCAAAACCAGCCAGGGCTTTATGAGAAATGTTTAAAGAGCAAGGAGTTTGGATTAGAAAAAATAAGTTTTAGGGAATTGCCTTTCTGCTCCAGAAAGTTTACACGTGACAGTTAACCGCTCCACATCAACATCATTTACAAGCAAGAAAACTGAACCCAGGGAGGTAACAGAATCAGGGCCTGGATTGTGTACCATGCTGCTGAGTAAGTTACCCCATTTACCGGAGTATATCAATTTATTGAGAAAGGATAGTGGAGGGAACACACACCCCGCCTTCTGAAGGCTCATCAACTCTACTCCTCCTCAGTCACCCACCAGGGATTCACACACTCCCTTCTCGGGGTCCTTCCTCATGTCTTCCCTCAGGCAGGCTTGCTGCAGCTCGTCTGCCTCTATGTCTAGCCAGCGTTACTAGAATTTCAGATACTCAGATCTTCCCCTTACCACCAGTGGGATGTTTCATGGGAGGAATTAGTGCTGAGTGTTAGTGTTCACAGGAGTCAGAAGGTCTGGAATTTTAGGGCCTGAACTTGAAAGGTCTCCCCGTCCTCCAAAGTCACCCCTTCCTTTGATGGGCTAACATTTCACTCTAAAGATCATTCTTTATTTGGTTTAGAAGTTATTTTAAATTAATTTTAGTAAATTAATTCTTTAATTTGGTTTAAATTTTACTAAATCCAAGGATCCTGGGATGGGTAGCACTTTAATCCAAAGTCTCTCAATTATTTTTCTTCCTCTGCGCTGTTCACATGTATGCCTCCCAACAGTAACATTTCTCATTATCCGTAGAGAGATGAAAATCATGGCTTTTAAATAAGTGTCATTTTCCTCCTGAGATCCAACCAGGAAAGCCAAGAGCTCCTGGGAATGCTTCGCAGTTTCCCCAGGTTTGGCGTTAGCAGCGATGAGACCTGCAGAAAGGACAAGCGACGCTGAAGGTGAGGTATGGGACTTGGGGGCCCCCTGGTGGATTGGCCATCATATTGCAGACTCAATGCCGACAGACTCCCCTTCAAAAGATGTAGGCTTTAGATACTACTCATTCCTTAAATTTTAAATTAAAATAAAGAAATAAATAAAAGCAGCCTGCCTAAATCCAAAACTAAGCACTAGAAGGGAGTGGGTTGTTGATCTAAAAGCTCCACGCACCCACGCACAGTGCTCAAGGAAGGACGTGCAAACAGACAGTCGCACCTGACTCAGCCTGGAGACCTTATTCGGGGAGTGAGTCCACGCGCAAGTCCTCGAGCTGGCAGCGCCCCCGGTGGGAACCCTGGCGTTCACCGCCGGAAAAAGAGTTTGAACAGAGAGAAGCTCTGAACTTAACCACAGCAGTGTTTCCCAAACTACCTGTGTTTCCCAATCATCAAGGGGAGCTTTGGAGAAGCACAAATTCCTGGATGGTTTCCTCCAGGAATTCTGGTTCCGTGGGTCTGGAACAGGGCCCACGTGGTTTGGAAGGGAGGTCAAGTTTGCAGACCACAGACCACTGACGGTATCCTCTTCCAAGTTAAGCTACCACAAGGACTGGGAGAAAACACTTGATGACAGTGGTGCAAACCACATCAAACCCCTGCAAACAAGGAGGAGGGGCCACAAGGGTGCCAAGGACCACGAGGGCTCAAAGCCCCAGAAGGCCCTAAAACCACAGTGTCCTTGGGCAGACATCTGTGATACTGGGAGGGGGGAGGGTGCAGCCAGCATGGAGACCCCCTGATTGAGGAAGGGTTGCTCATTGTTCTTCTGTTTAAAAAACAAAACAAAAACGATTAAAGAAGATAATTTAGGTGACGATACAAACACACTTTATTTAATACTTCATGAAGTGGACAGTTTCCTTTCTGAGAACTGAAAATGGGGTGGAAGGCAGGAAGCTATTGTAGGATAGAGAATCAAGGACAAGAAAGAGTCAAATAGAACATATATGATTGGCTAGGGCCACACAGGCGACTTTGGGGTGAGAAGACCCAGAGTTGACTTGGCATTTGGGGATGGCCTGACCGAATATACTGTTTCTGGTCAAGCAGAGCCTTTATAGGGACACAAAAGTTATCTGTGTTTTTGATTTGCAGATGTGGCCCCCTGGCAGGAGGAGCTCCATTTTGGGCCTAGAAATTTATTTCAGAGCTTCTAAATTCATTCTTCACTTGTTTTTTTTTCTGTTTCTTTTCTGAGGCGTTACTTCATCTCTGTGAATGATGCAAATTTCCTTCACTATTGTCATCATCACTGTAATTTTTGGGGTACTTTTTTCTGGCCAGGGTAACTGTTGAGCCATTCCTGGTC